ACCTTAATTTTTTTTTGTGAGGATATACCAGCCTTATGAAATTCACCTTCAGGGTCAGCTGAAATGCTTCTGAACCACGTAAGCCTTTTTTCCCTTCAAGTTACTAGGTTTAGGGCCTGTCTTTATTACAAAGTTAACTTGCATTAATGCACTAGGGTTTCTCTGCTCAAAGCACTCTAGTTCAAGTGACAGTGAAATACCACTCGAGCTACATGGAGTGATTGGATTAGCTGCTGAGTTGTTACAACTCCAGCTTGTGCATTCCCACTGCATTACTAGCATGGGCACTGTCAGGACTCGGGCTGTACATCACCTCTTGAACAACACAGCTATGTTGAATTCAGAGCGCTGCTTAACCTCTAGCCAGAGTTTTTGTGTGGATAGGAATTGGCTAAGGGGGACAACTTGAGCTGTGGCTCGAGCTAGCAACAGAGAGTCAATCCCTAGTCAATTTTTCATAAGAAAAATGTAAGTTTTCTCTTTAAGCTAGTTTTGGTGTTGCCAGGTATAGCATTGCTGATTTTTTGAGTTATCTTGGATGTTTTCTCTTCACAGCAGTCTGGATAAAATGGAGTTCTGTTTCACTTTTTACTTCTCCATCCCCTTGAGGCAATTCTTGATCTTCCTTGTCTTGCAGCGTAGCTAACTCCTGAGCTAGTCCCGATTTTGGTAAGCATGATGACCTTCCCTGTGGGCAGGACTCTCAACAAACGCAGCTGAAATGAATTGGGAGCCTCTTAGGTGAATCATTTTAGTGATCTCTTCAGGTTGTTACCTCCTGGAAGTATTGTTAGATCTGCTTCTGGCAGGTGAGGTAACTGAGGCAGAGGATGAGATTTGTTTACTGCCATGCTATGAATTTGCGCATCTGTTAATCCCAAATCACCAGGGAAAAGGCCATATGAGCAGTCTAATGATACTTATGTGGGGTTGATTTTTAATCCAATCAATTTTCATTTTAAGAGGTTTATTCTCTTTAATTAGTTTCTTTGTTAACAGACTAAAAATCTCTCCTGGAGTAGCTTACAGGCCAATGATCTTCTCTATCTTACTCGTTTTAGCCCTCAAGCTAGCAATTTTATTAATGGATGCAGCTGCTTTGTGGAAGGGATCAAGTCTGAGATGCATGCTGTCATTATTTTGATTTATCTTCTTGCTCTGTAGCTTGCCAAGTCTACCCTATCTCTACTGCAAAGTGGAGCTTGATGATACTGGCAGCATATGCCTGACTTGAACAGTTATTGAAATGACCATCTTCTTCCAGCCATGTGATTTGATGGGTCCTGGATGGGAATTGTATGGAGACCTGTTTATTAAAAACAAAACAAAAACCCTACCCATGTTTTTGAAATCCTTTAAAAGGGATGAAAGTTTGCAGGAAGTAAATAGCAATTTTCCAATGTCCATGCAGCGACATATCCCTATTGCTTAAAATAGATTAAAGTTCCTTTCATATGCTGTTTCCCATGGAAGGGCATAGAAGGAAAGACAAATACATGATTTTATCATGTCAACCAGAATTGCTATTGTACATGGGCAGATTCTTCTAAATGTAACAGTATGCTTGAGGGGGTTGGGCTGTTCTAGTAAACTTGTAATTCAAAATCCTTAAATTTTCCAGGCAATTAGTTTCCACTAAATATGGTGATTGTTTGATAAAATTACATAGCATACAAACTAGTAACAGATTTTCCTAATTCTAGGCAAACTGTGTAAGCTGGCAGCTAAACAGCAAACACTTTTTTTTTTTCCCCCCAACAACTGGACATTGGGTAACCGGTTACCAATAGGTAATAACCATATTTCCTGTTTTCTCTTCCTACTGTGATCCATTCAAATTAGCAGCTTGCTGGTGAAACACTCTACTGTCCATCATCAGTATTCTGTTATATGGCCATCCTCTGCAAAATAACACTCTATAAAATATTTTGTTTCTATAAAACTTGCTCTAAGCCTCTGTACATTGGACACAAATACAATTCCACTTACAGCTTGTGGTTTAAAAAAATAGCCTGTTTGGTTTTGTATGCTGAAATGGCAAAAATGCACTTTCAGCTACAGTGTCACTCTAAAGGCTCTTGTACATTAAACTGTCCTGTTATATTTTTTTAGCATTACATCAGAATATTTTTTTCAAATTTGAATAAAAATAATTAGTATTGCTTTTTAATGTATTTTATGGGATTTAGTTGCTTGTTTGTAATTCAATAAGTTGAAATATGAATGCAGCATGTATATATGTATATACATATACACCCCCACCAAGGTACTAGAAACATCTCAATTTAAAATGTCATACTTAATTAGATATTACACCGTTAAAACCCAGTTGTTGAGTTCCTGGATCCAGACATTAAGACTCTTACATCTTTATTTTTATATAGATCTACACATACCTATAGATCTATATAAAAATAAAGATGTAAGAGTCTTAATGTCTGGATCCAGGAACTCAACAACTGGGTTTTAACGGTGTAATATCTAATTAAGTATGACATTTTAAATTGAGATGTTTCTAGTACCTTGGTAACTAATTCTCTTCGTGAAATTTCTTCTTTTTGGAGTTAGTATTGTTGTTAAGACTATCAGTAAGAAGACAGAAGTTTCTCTCCTCTGTCTTTGAGCAGGTTTTGGGCATGTCTAGCTATTTATTTTAACCATGTTTATTTGCAAGTATAGTGATGGTTATAGAAAAATATTTGTCGCATAATTTGGTAACTGTCTAGCATTCTGCATTGTATAAACAACTCATAAAATCATGGAAACAAAGTCAACTGTAGAATACCTCAAGAAAATGGATTGCTAACATCAAGAACTGGGAGGAGCTGGCTGCTAACAGTCTCCTATGGAGCTGCAACTTCAGCCAAGTGGCTGTCCATTTCAGAGTGACGTGTCTTGCCCTCAAAACAGAAGAGAGAGTGGAGGAAGGAGAAGGAGAGGAATCTAAGCCTACAGTCTACTCTCTCTTCATGAGGAAAGAACTGCAACTTCTGTGTCCAGATCTATGGCTCAAGGATTGGACTCTTCAGTCACCTCAGCACCCATCAATGAGCCCTGGCAGAGGTTAGAGGTGCACCGATACATCAATCCCATATCAGATCGGCACCGATTATAAGGAAAATTAAAAGTATTGGCAATCAACGCTTTTTTTTTTTTTTGCTGATGTGGCCAATAATGTTGCTGATAAATGCCTTATGCATGTGCACAACCGCAGTATAGCATGGAGGCCATGACCACAGTGTGGCAGCGTGGAGAGCAGTTGGGTCCAGCTGGTAAGTCTGTTGTGAGGGAGGAGGCGTGGCGGGGGGAGCAGATTGAGGCCCCAGCAGTGAGGGAGGGAGTGTGGTGGGGCTGGGGCAGGGCCAGGCGCTGCACAGCTGGGGTGGGGTGTGGTTTGTCCCAAGGGGCATGGGGAGGGGATGGCAGCTACTGCCGTTGCACGCACCCTGGGATGGCATGGGTGTGTGTCCCAGATCTGTGCGTGGGGTGGGCTGCTGCTGTGGAATGGGGTGGTGCCTGGCTTTTCCCAGTGGGGAGCCTGGGCTGCATTAGGGGTGGGAGGTAGCGTGCTGGGAGGGAGGGCTATGGCAAACTTTGGGGCGGCTGCAATCCCTCCCCCCATAGCCCCTTGCCCAGCCCCCCAGTGGGAACAGCTTGGCTCTGCCCCTGGCCTCAGCCCGCAGCAGCAGCCCACCCATGCCCCACATGCAGATCCAGGCACGTGAGCCCCCCCGCCATTCCTTCCTGGGGTGCGTGCAGCAGCAGGAGCTGCCAGACCCCCTTCTAACACCCTGGACAAGCTGCTCGTGGCTCCATCCTGTGTCCTGCACTGACTATGCAGCGCCTGGCCCCGCCTCTGCCCCAGTCCTAGCCCCACTGCCTCTCACTGCGGGGGCCCTCCATCTGTGCCCCCCCATCCTGCTTCCCCCACGACAGGCTTACCAGCTGGATGTTGCTCTCCATGCTGCCCAGCTGCATATTGGAATCGGATCGGTATCAGCCGATTATTGCTTGCTAAAAATAGGCCATTGGTATCAGCCCAAAAAAGTCTCTATCAGAGATCCCTAGTAGAGATCGTCCTTGAATTAAGGGGTTGCCACTGCTGCTGACAACTATAGAACTATATGAATCCCAAATTTATAAATATGGTAGCTGGGATTTGCCATTTTTCCCTAAATACCATATTTCTTTCATACAACTTGTCCTGAAATATAATATGCACTTTGCTTTTGAAAGGCAGAATGAATTTAAAAAGATTTTTTTCCCTTGTAGTAAGTAACTGAGTAACAACATCTAGGGAGTAGATGGAGCCTGTTTCTTGTTTTGCTCCTGTGAGTTGCTTGTCCATTTTACTTTCACTTTTACTGGTAGTAACTGGCAGAAACTGTTTTTACCACATTTATCTCCTATAATGCCCATTGCAATTCCCAGCAGCTGGTTTTGGGGGAAAACTGTGTGTATGCAAGAAAATACAGTATTTCCTTTGCTTTTAAAAATTAATTTGAATGGCTGCGGGAGCAAAAGAGAACTCCAAGTCTGAAATATTAGTGCAATTATCAATTTTATTTTTTTGTCTGTACAGAGGACCAGAGGTACGTCTTTTTGTTGTTGTTTGTTTTTTGGTTTCTTAGCCAGGAATAATTTTGATTGACAGAATGCCAGCTGTTTAAGATGACAGGCTAGTGGGGATGTAGTTTGAGTTCTGTTTTTCTTTCCTACATTAAGAATGTTAAAGAATAGTTACCAAGAACAATGCACACATTATGTTTTAAAGCTTTCAGAGATGTCTTTCAGTTGGACTCTGTCTTTTAATTGTACACTGGAGAAATTAAGTTTGTGTGTAACTATTCTGAACAATATGAAGTACTTTGGTGTTAGCCCTTGTGCAGAACCAGAGTTGTTGGAGAAAAGTCTGGTTAGTTTTTAGAGAACTTTGCATATACAAAGGTTGCCTCTACTTAATCTTGGACACATTTATTCCAATTAGGGGTGCACTGATAAAGATTTTCTTGGCCAATACCGATAGCCGATTATTAACCAGCCATATCTGCTGATACTGATCTGATAACCAACTTAAAGGAATGCAGCCAGACAGCATGGAGAACAGCTCCCTGCAGGTAAGTCTGTGGAGGGGAAAGGGCATGGGAGAGGGAAGGGGTGTGGGGGACACAGATCAAGCACCCACAGGGAAGGAGGGAGGGAGTGGGGTAGGGGCTGGGGCTGGTGCTGTCTCCAGGCACGGGGGTGAATGGGACCTGGGGTATGGAGAGGGACAGAGCTGTGGGTGACTCATCCAGGGGATCAGTGCCCTGGTGCTTAAAAATGGCAGTGGTGGCACTTGAACTAAAGCTCCTCAAATGAGCTTTAGTTCAAGGGCTACCGCCACTATTTTTAAATGTGGGGATGCTTTTCATTGTTGCCGAGAGGGGTGAGGGCTAATGTGGGCTGCTTGCTATGGGCTCAGGGCTCTCTGCTCTGCTGCCTTTCCCCTGGGAGTCCCACATTGGCCACACATCACCTGCTCGCTCAGCAGTGGGAGAAGCAACTTCCTGCCCCCACCACTGCCAGGTGGGCAGGGGATGCGTGGCCGGCATGGGGCTCCTGAGGGAAAGCCAGCAGAGCCCCTAACCCGCAGCGAGCAGCCGCGATCCACCCT